TTCCCTGCTTTCAGCTATGATCCATCTAACATTAGCTACAAAATCTCTAGTACCATGACCCCTTCTAAACCCAGCCTGGACTTCCAGCAATTCTCTGTTGATGTGCTTTTCCAGTCATTTTTGGATAATCTTCAGCAGAATCTTTTTCTTGCATGTGATATTAATGATACTGTTCTATAATTTCCACACTCTGTGGGATCACCTTTCTTTGGAATGGGAACAAATATAGATCTCTTCCAGTCAGTTCACCAAGTGGTTGTTCTCCACATTTCTTGCACAACTTGGTGAGCACATCTAGGGCAGCATCCATTAGTTCAAAAATGTCGATTGGTATACCATCAATTCCTGGGGACTTATTCTTGGCTACTTCTTTCAAAGCAGTTTGAACTTAATTCCCTTGTCACCACAACCTCTTGCTCATATGTTCTTTCATTAAATTCTTCTGTGTGTGCCAATTCCTTTTGGTATAATGACTCTGCATACTCTTTCCATTGTCTTTTAATACTTGCAAAATCATTTCATACTCTCTCCAAAGCTTTCTTAAGTATTGCAACTTGAGGTTTGAATTTCTTCAATTCTTTGAGCTTAACAAACGCTGAGCGAGTTCGGCTCCTTTGATTTTCTGACTCCAGCTCTTTGCACATTTCATTATAATACTTTACTTTGTCCTGCCACACTGGCTTTTGAAATCTTCTGTTCAGCTCCTTATTGTCTTGATTTCTTTCCTCTTCTTTGGCTTCTTGGAGCTCTATACAACCACTAGTATAATCTACTGAATTGGATTTTAATCTAGCAAATGGTTTCTACATATGGAACCTTTGGTTGTTCTTTTAGCATTTTCCCTGTCTACAAGCTAGTGTCAGCTTGTCAGATTCTCAGCTAACAAGGAGCTCTGGCTGGGAGTTCTCTTGTTTATAATTAAACAGCATTTGGTGGGTGTGCTTGTCTTTAAAGGCAGTGTGGGGCTAAATCTGTAGTTTGGAGAGGCTCTTGTGAATTGATTTTGACTCTGGAAGACTCAGGCCAAAGGTTAATCGATTTAGGGATGAATATTCTTTAAAGTGGTACAGTAATTGTCCATCTATTTATTCTTCTGAAGTAACTTGGAGTTGTTGTGATGCTGAACATTGTGCCATAGGTGTGTCAAACATCATAATGGTTACCTGTCATGGGAAGTGTTTGGTGAAGCTCCCAGACTGATTTAGGTTTGGAAGCAGGAATGTCATCCACTTTCTAAACCATATGTCTTTAGAAAGTCCATGAACGTAGAGAAATAATGATAGTTGTAAAACAGGGTTCAGGTCTTTTTTCATAAAGTGCTATGAGTCCTACTGACCACAGTTAACAATAAGAACAGGTGAAAGGAAGACTGCGGAGAAACAGTTCTACTCTGAAATGTGGGCTCTTTTATTTTGGTTGAGGGTCACGTGGAATGTTCAGTTTGTTTTTATTTAAGCCTCTTGTTTAGAGTCAATACCAACTCCTGAGGCGCCTTTGTATTTAAAAGTAGGTTATGCCCTCGGGCCTAGGAATATTCTTCTCAGAGGTGAAGCACTAGCCTGTCCAATTTGCTGTACTGAGGTAAGCTGGAGTGGCTGAACTCTATGCCACTGGGGTGTCAAATGCCATAATGATTACCCATGGCAGACAATGTTTTGTGGAACACCAGATTAAGACATGTTTGGAAGCAGGATTGACATCCACTTCCTAAAAAACAAGTCTCTGGAAACTCTATGAACTTTGAGAAACGACAATGGGTACAGAAAGACTTCAAGCCTTTTGTTCACAGGGTCGCCATGAGTTGTCCTCAACTTGATGGCAATCAACAACAACCATAATCTCCCACAGTTTAAGACTCAGCTTTCTACTTCTGCTTTCTTTGCCCATTCTCCACTACCACCACTGTATCCTAAACCAACAATATCCCAGAAAAGACACTCAAACTCTATTAAAGAATCATAATATAGATAAAACAGCTAACTTTATGAGTTTTTAAATGCCCTTCCTGGGATATGACTGGGTCAGGATACAGTGAAATTCAGGAAAAAACAAACGAGCAAAAGAGTCAGAACTAGAATGTTGAAGCCCTGAACTCAGAATGACCAAATCACCTATATCTGTCAGACATTTGACAAGACAAAAGACTCCTTAAAATGCCCTTTGTATGTTTGTGGAGCCCTTCTGTGAAATCAAGAGAAGGCAAACACTTTTATAAAAGTCTCCCTTCTTCTCAGGGAGGGATGTGACATTCTGAAAGGAGAAAAGCTTTTCTGCCACTCTGGTATTCACATCACATTTGGTGCAATGGTCGGACAAAGGCAGACAGTCTGACCTTGGGGATAAGGTGTTTGAAAGTGGCTAATGAGGCATGCCATAAGCACTGAAGAAAAAAAAATGTAAAAGAGGCAGCCCCGAAAGAATTGAAATTAATATCCACTGCAGCATACCATGATAGGCAACGGAGTCATTCTCAGAGAGTCAAATTGCATCTTAACCTTGTGTTTCCACTGTTAACCTTAGACATGGCACATGGGTGAAGCTCAACAAAGACGTTTGAATGGAAAAAAAAAAAGATGTTTGAATGGGCAAATAAATGGATGTAAAAACACTATCAGTTTTTGGTCTTCTAATAACACATCTTGAGGACTTTAAAAGTTCTGAGATAAAATAAAGCAAACACTATTAAACATAATCATTTCTCTGACCCTTTTCCTTGACCCATTAGTTTATTTCTGCATGAATGTACTTCTTCTAAGGAAAAAGCATTCAGTCAAGATATTGATACAAATTCATCTAATTGAAGACTAGCTCTTGTTGATAGATATGTATAGATAATTATGATAGATAGATATATGTGAATTAATTCATATTTAGTAAAGGTGGTGTCTCAGAATTTGGTGGATGGAGGGAAATAATGTACGTGAATGAAACACGGTTGGTTGGGTTTTTTTAAGGTAAAAATAAATAAACAGAGTTGGTGTAGTCCATAGTACTCACATAATGACTACAACAAAGGGCTCAAGTGTTTTGGAGATGAAGAGCACAGGAAAAGATGGGTTTGAGATCTATTGTTCAGAGGGTCTCTAAGAGCCATACTCCACAGCAAATAACAGAGCACAGTGAGTTGTGCTGAAACCCAAGGGCTGCTAGCCTCTGGTAGTTCAAATCCATCAGCAGTAGCTTGAGAGGAAGAACAGTCTTCTGCTCTGGCTGTTTACAGACTCAGAAATCCAACAGTTATCTAGCCTGCTTGGAGAACAATTAGTATTTCTTTTTTATCAAATATTCTGTTGAAGAAAGAATTGCCATGCACAGAGGATAACTTATGGTAATTAATACATAATTGAGTAGTGGTCAGAGCTCAACATCGAGAAAAGATTCTCACTTCTAGACCTATTGGCAATATCATGGTAGATGGAGAAGAGATGAGATTGTTAGTAATTTCAGCTTGGTTGGACCTACAAGCAACACTCTTGGCTCAAACAGTCAGGAAATCAAAAGATGAATTACATTGGGAAAACTGCTGTCAGAGACCTCACCACAGTACTGAAGAGCAATGATGTCAATCTAGAGACCAAAGTGCAGCTGATCCAAGCCATGATCTTCACAATTACTTGCTGTGTATCAGAGAACAAAGCAATGACTTAGGATGATAGAAGAAGAATAAATGCCTTTGAGTTGTGGTACTGGAGAAGAGTATTAAACATACCATGAATTGCCAAGATTTCAAACAGGTCTGCCCTATAGAGGGTGAGACCAAGTTGCTCCTTGGAGGCAAAGATTTTGAAGCTTCATCTCAATACTTTGGCCATGTGGTCAGATGGAACATCATGATTGGAAGGATGGAGGGACAGCGTAATAAGTGAGATGGATTGACTCAGTAACTGCAGTAATGGGGATAAGGTGTGTCACAGACAAGGAAATTGGCTTAAGATAGGACAGGGTTCAGAGCTGTTGTACATAGAGCCGCTAGGAGTTGCAGGTGACTCAATGGAACAATACAACAGCAACATTCATTTAAAAACTTCAACATTGACTATCATTTTTCATGATGTAGAAGGCTCTTGAGCATCCATTGTTGCTATGCACTACTAAGTTAAAACCAATTCATAGCTGCCCCTTCATCAAGTTTTCAAAGGCAGTAAATCAAATGGGAGGAGATTATCTATCTTTCTCCCACAGAACAGCTAGTGGATTTGAACTATGTGCCTTTGAACACCCTCTAGTAACAAATTCACCATGGTGGAGCATCACTGTAAGTTATCATTATACCAAGAAAGACGCTTGATATTGTAATACCATTTCTATTTAGTATGCCACTGAACAACATTTGGTATTTATACTATTCTTTGCTGTCCAATTGGAGCCAACTCACAGAAAACCCTCCAGCAATTTTTGGAGGCTATGAATTGTGCCTGGAGAAGGTTAAACCAGGCTGCTCCTTGGAGGCAAGGATTCTGAAGGATTCTGTCTAACATACTTTGAGCATGTTGCAAGGAGGGACCAGTCCTTGGAGAGAGACACTATGCTTGGGAAGGTGGAGGGACAGCGCAAGAGAGGAAGACCTTCGATGAGATAGATTGACTCAGTGCCTGAGATAATAATAGGGTGAGAGACAATAAGATTGGCTCAGGAGAAACGAGGTTTCAGAGCTGTTGTAATAGCATCGCTATGAGTCACAAGCAACTCGATGGAACATAACAACAACATAAATTGCGCAGAAGGATATTTTCTACCTTTCTCCAAAAAAGTGGCTAGTCAATTCTAATGGCCGCAGAGATTCTCTTTGGGTTAGGAGCACAACACTTTACAGGTTACACCACCAGAGTTCCCCTGGGCGTTGGTAAAATATTTTCCTTTGGTAAAATTACAGATATTTACCAGAGAGAATATAAAAAAATAAAGATTCACAGTTAGCCTTGCTCCAGAAGGGGTTTAAGACATGAATGGGTATAAAGATTATTTTACCAGCCTGCAGACTTAATTGTTGCCTCTTCCAGGAAGATCTCCAACACTTGGCTTAGCACCGGCTGGTTCACAATGACCATCGCCTTGGAGCTCTGTGACAGGATCAATGTTTATGGCATGGTGCCCCCAGACTTCTGCAGGTACGGTTTCTTCTGCAAGTATAATTCACTAATGGTGTTGCACAGGGCTTATAAATATTTGATTCCAAATATCAACCACAAAACATGTCTGTCTTCTCAGAGCAATTAATTAACAGGTCCCAAGTTCTGATTCTAGAAACAACAAACAGCATTTAATTATGTGATATAAAATATTGAAAGTTTTTGTTTGTTCTACTGGAGAATTAATCCATCATGTGGGCTTCATTATCCTCTGAATATTTATCAGCCAAAAGTAAAGTAATAATTGGCATAATATTAACTATATTATTAAAAGCATTAAGAAATACTAGTTTTCTTCTCATTTCGAAGGAATGTAGTAATTTTTAACGTATTAAAGAAGATAATTCCTTTGATGGTGGAGGCTGTTTTCTAAAATTAAAATAGTCCTCTGAGCTTCTTTCCCTTGCCACTACAGCAGCCTCCGTTTGTGCTTCTAAGGCCAAGAGCACAGGCATAATTAATGTATCACTTTAAAGGAAATGTGCACGTATCTTGCTTGATGCCTCAAGTTAAGTGTGTGCCCAGACAGAATATGGTGTGTATAGTAGAGGCACCGGGAAACATTTGGGGCCTGATTTGTGGAAACCCTTTTGCAAACATATCCATAATTTAAAATTGTGATGTCAATAAATTCAGTTTATTCTAGTTTTCTAGAAAGCCTGATGACCTGGACTTGGCCTCAGGCCTAATCTTTAGATGATACTCCTAGGATGGTTGGCATTTTAAACTTTCTCAATAAAATCTGTTTTTTAATATACCCTTTGTGTCTTAGAAATCTAACAATTTCTTGAATGTCATTGGACATTAGGCAAATGCTACAATGTGGAATTGTGAATCAATGATAAGAAAGAGTATTTAAACATGCTGTTACTACAGGGACCCTCTTCTCTTACTCTTTTAAACTCAAAACCTCAAGACAGCAGTGGTACTAATTCATATAGAAGAGTCACAAAGTAGAAGTATATCTAAACAGAGCAGTCTTTTGGTATCAGCCAAGAGTCCACCATACTCAGTGATGACTTAATGTAGAATGTTCTGGAGACAGACAGCATAGGTTTAAAGCCTGATCTGGTAACTTACTAGTTGGCCAAGTTATTTAACCTTTTTGTGTCTCACTTTCCTCATCTTTGAAAATGGATGTGATGATGCTAATAGACTCTGTCTCAGAATTGCGAGCAGATTAAATACATTAATACATTTAAGTAAGTGCGTGACACACTTAGCTTGGATCCCTACTCTTATTTCTCAACAATTGTTTTCCTGACACAGTTTCCATGTTTAACAATCCGTATGTGTAAAGTATGTAAGAAAGTATCTTAGTTTTCCAGTGCTATTGTAACAGAAATATTACATATAGGTGCTGTTAACAAACAAATAGTCATTTTCTCACTATTTGGGAAGCTGTTGTTGTTAAAAGATGCTGTTGAGTGGACTACAATTCATAGCAACCCTATGAACAACGAATCTGAATCCTGCCTTATAGTGGTTCATCCTCATTGTCTCTGACACCATGAAGCTCACCGTTAACAATCATTATGTCAGGTCATCTCATCGAGAATCTTCATCTCTTTCATTGACCTTTTACCTTATCTCATGGGATGTCTTTTTCCAAGGACTGACCCATCCTAACAGCCTGCCCAAAAGTGTGTGAGAAGAGCATCCTGTTTGCATTTTCTTCAAGACATATTCTTCTGTTAGTACTTGAGATATTCAGTACTCTCCTCCAATAATACAACTTAAAGCTGTGCTCCAACAGCACAACTCAATAGTCTCCTCGAACAGCACAACTCAAAGGCATCAATTCTTATTCTATCATCCTTATCCGTTGTCCAACTTTCAGGTGCATAGCAAGTAATTGAAAAGAACCATGGTTTGTATCAGGTACACCTTACTCTTTAAACTGACACAATTATTCTTTAGCACTTTGGAGAGTTTCTTGACAGCAGACTTTCCCAATGCAGTACGTATTTTAATTGTCAAATACAAGTACATCTTTTGATTGTTTTTGTTGTTGTGTGCCATCAAATTGCCTGCGACCCATAGCGACCCTATGTACAGCAGCTCTGAAACCTGCCCTGTCCTGAACCAGTCTTACTAATTCTAGCACACCAACCCTATTGCCCCAATAACTGTATCAATCCATCTCATCCAGGGTCTACCTCTCCTGCGCTGTCCCTCAACCCTTCCAAGCATGATGTCCTTCTCCAAGGACCGGCCTCTCCTGGCCATGTGCCCAAACTACATGAGACAGACCTATTTGTTTTCTTGGCAGTCCATGGTATGTTCAAGACTCTTCTCCACTGCCACAACTCAAAGGCATCAATTCTTCTTCTGTCATCTTTAGTTATTGTCCAGCTCTCTGAAGCATAACAAGTAATTGCAAAGATCATGGCCTGGGTTAGGCACACCTTAGTGTCTAGACTGGCATCATTGCTTTTCAGCACTCTGGAGAGATCCCTGATAGCAGATTTTGCCAGTGAAATTCATCTTTTGGTTTCCTGACAGCTGAGGTTAAGAGTGTTGGGTGTGGAGACAAGAAAGATGTAATTGTTAACAATCTCAATCTCTTCTCCAAATATCCTGATGCTGCTAATTGGTGACAATCTTTGTCTTCTTGATGTTGAGCTTCAATTCGTATTGAAGACTACAGTCCTTGAACTTCTACAGCAAGCACCTCAGGTCCTCCTCAGGTTCAGCAAGCAAGGTTGTGACGTGTACACAATGTAGGTTGTTGATGAGTCTTCCTCCAATCCGGATGCCACATTCCTCCTTCATAAGCCCTGCTTCCCAAATGATCTGCTCTGCATATGCATTGAAAAGGTAGTATGCATTCCTGACTCACTCCTTTCCTGATTTTAAACCATGCAGTGCTTCCCTGCTCTGTTCTGAGGACTGCTTCCTGGTCAGAAATGAAGCTGAGGATGGAATGACAGAATTATATCTATGATTTGTTAATAGCAAATATCTTTTATAAGAAACAAATGCAAGCTATGCACATGGATTTCACCTAATGTGATGCACAGGAATCAGATTGATTATATCTGTGGAAGGAATTATTGGAGAATTTCAATATCAATAGTGAAAACTAGGCCAGGTGCGGATCATATGCAATTTCAAATTAAAGCTAAAGAAGGTTAAATTATATCCACAGGAATCAAAATTTGATTTTGAGTCTACCTCCTCTGAATTTAAAAACCAACTCAGAAATAGGTTTGAGGACTTGAATGCTAATGAACAAAGACCAGATAAGCCATAGGAAGATATCAAGAATATCATTCATGAAGAATGCAAAAACTCATTACAAAGAAGGAAGAAGAAGAATAAAATACCAAAATGGATGACAAAAGAACCTCTGAATATTGTACTAGAGCACAGAGAAGCCAAAGCAGAGGGGAAAAAAATCAATAAATTAAGGAGCTGAATGGAAGATTTCAAAGGGTAGCACGGGAAGGCAAGGCAAAGCATTATAATGAAATGTGCAAGGAGCTGGAGTCAGATAATCAAAAGGGCTGAACGCACTCAGCATATCTTAGGCTGAAGGAACTAAAGAACAAATTCAAGCCACAAGAATCTTTTGATTAGGAAGCTAGAAATCCAAATTCAGGGTTCTGACTCAAGAGGGGTATTTCTTTCTCTATAAGCTTAAGGAGGAGATCCTTGCTTCTTCCAAGTTTCTGCTCCTGGACAATTTTCATGCAGTTGGGTGGATGCCATCCTCAGTCTCTTCTAGTCTATCTGAGTGACACTGTCTTAGCCTGAAAGAGCCCCATTCTTCTGCCCTTTGGACTTGACAGACCATCACATCAGCTTTGGGTGGTAACCCCATCCCCCTGGCATATTTAATGACATCCTCACACTCTAGAACTTAGTTTATGAAGATGCAACTCTTTAAAACTGTAATAATATCCTATAAACTAATAAAATGGTTGCAGGAGAATTACAAGTGTAATGCAAAACTCTCTAATTCCATTGCAGCTCTAATCAGATGGAAGTATAGTTCCTATATGTTGGTGCCTGCAATACTTTTTAATTGTTTTTATTTATGCTTTTTGTTTTGTTTTTCATTCACGTGTGTTTCATATCATCATCCTCATAAACTGTGTCTTATAAAATTAATCACCTTTGATCTATGCCCACTATTACCCAGTCTTTTCAAATCCCCACTGAAACTTTCCTTATTCCTTCACCTCCTCCCTCCACGCACCAAACTTTATGACCCTGTGATTTCCCACCCTCTCAACATACTCTGCCCCTTTGTCCCTTCTCCTTCTATCTTTGGACATCTATGCACATTTTACTAGCTAGTTATCTTTATGTTTTAACAATAATAGTTTTATGCAGTATTTGCTCTTATGAGCCTGAGTTAGTGCACTCAACATAATGTTTTCTAGCCTTTCTCCTGTTATATAAGATTTTTTTAAATTGTTGCTTCTGAGTGCTGCATAGTACTCCATTGTGTAAATAGACCACAATTTCTTAATCCATTCATTTGTTGATGCAAATTCAGGCTGTTTCCATTTTCTTACTATTGTGACTAGCACTGCTATGAACTTTGGTGTTCAAATCTCCATTTGTGTTGCAGTTCTATTTTCCATGGGGGTATATTGCTACTAGTGGATAGCTGGGTCACATGGAATTTTTATGTTCAGTTTACCTTGTTAGTGGGATTGTAAAATGGTACAGCCTGCAATATCCTTATTTCACTTGATATAAAAAAGCATAAGAAAGTGAGCCAAGAGTGGGGAACCTTTAGTGGTACCACTAAGAAATAATCACGAGGAGTGGGGTTTGTCTGTTTTAATCTGCTTGACAAAACACATTACCACCAGGGAAGGCTCAAACACATGAATATCTCTAAGGAATGCTGGGCCTTCCTAAGAGTTGGTACCTGGACATTTGAATTTCTAGCCTCCTAAACTCTATGTTGGCTAGCATTTTACTGTAAGCAGCAAGGAGAAACCTCATGGTGATCCCTTTAA